CTTAAAGGTGCTCTGTGTCATCTTTACAGTCAGTCCAGGCATGTCCAAACTCAGGCCCGCGGGCCAATTGCGGCCCTGTGTTCCATTTGATGTGGCCCTCTGCTGCTAACACAACCTTTGACCTTCTGGAATCCAGTCGTTGACATAAATTCCAGTCAATACAGTTGTTTAAATCCAGGCTGACGGCCCCAGGTCAGTCTGATGAACTAAAGGGCCCTCTTACTAAAAGATTTGGACACCCCTGAGTTTGTCCAAATTAAAAAACATGTAGAACCAGTAACAAACATGACCTTTTTAAGAATATTTAGCTCCACCATGTTTTTGAATTGTTGTCCTTGACTTAAAATTTCCTTATAAATGCCCGTGAGGCTGAGGACTCTACAGGTCCATGCTCCATCTTGAAATACAGAGGCTGATAAGGGACAAAGTAAGAGCTGGAGTTATGGACCACGATCAAAGACTGCTTTTTGTCCTGTGAAGCCACCGTAGTTGTGTAGATTTGAATATATGATCTCAGTGTTAGATGGGAGTAAAAACGACACAGTGGACCTTTAATTATGGAAGAACGTGCACATTGATAGATCCGCTGCTGCCTTCTACGATGTTGGGGCTGAAATGGAAGTCTGCTACAAAGGTTTCAATGCCCCGATTCGACTGCGCAAGAAAAGACAATTTACAAACAACTTGATAATATTCAGCATCAATGGATGACAGTGGGGATGGGACGAGAAACCATATAATAATTCAAGTTCCGCACAGTTGAGAATGACTTAAGCAGTAAAAACACACAGTGACATTTCTCCATTTTGAGATCAGTCAAGTTTATATTTTGTTGTTAAGTCAAATATAATGAGTAAATCTGTCCTAGTGTGGTGTTCTCTGTCAGGTTCTCAGACTGTGGAGGATTCACACTGTCCCATCCCCAGAGCATACCAATAATTTAGGATTATTAGAATTACAGGGGTGGGTAATATTATTGTTCTGTTCATTTCTCTACACTGCAAAACATGATCAAATATGAGGTAAAAATGCCTTGAATGGAGTTGTTTTTAGATCTTAATTTGACCCAATGTGACTTTGTTAAATCACAAATCTCTTAGTTTTTTCTCATTCCACTGAAACAAAAAATTAATCTTAATCCAGATTTGATTACTAAAAAAACATAAATGAGGCTTATTTTTCAATGTAGTTTGTCATAAGATAATTTTACTCATAATCTTTTTAGAGAAATAAGTTAATAAGAGTTTTTAAGCTTTTTTAAATATGTTTTTCTCATTTCCAGGTCTTTCTTGTTATTTAGATAAAAATAAGTTTGTGATGCTCTTTCTTAAGAAAACATTGCTCAAAAATGTTTAGGAAAACAGTAAATAACACTTGAAATGTATGTTTTTAAAACAGAAATCTTCTCGCGTCATATTTTCTGGTTCTTTTGGCAGATATTTCATAATATTTTAAGCAGTATTTTACTTACTTCCATACATTTTTATATTTTTTCTAGGTATTTTTTTTTAGTGCAAGGGAGACATTTCTGTGTCTTTTCTAATTTACAAAAATATCTCCCTCAGTTCAAGCCACAGTCTGAATGTGCTCAGATTAAGACACATAAATCCGAGCATGTTTTTGTTATCATGTTTTGCAGTGTAAAATACAATACTTAGTACTTTTCCATGGTCTGTGTGAGGAGACGTCAGAACCTGCAGAGTCGACAGTGCTACATCAGAGAAGAAAAGGGGGCGGGGTTTACAGTGCAATCGTTTTGGCGAGCTAAAGAGAGCGGCTTCAAGACTAACTAGAGGGTACTTCTCATCGTTTCCAAAGTAACATAAAACCATTTATAGATAAACTTCATTTACTTTAGGGGACTACAAAAACATTTCACAGAATCTACAAAAACACAAAGAATGGAGTCCGCAGCCTCAGTTTCAGCACAACACACACGTTTGTCTGATAAAAAATATCATTGCGTCTTGATCAGACCTTTGCTTTTATTAGGTCAAAGAACAACACGATCTCCGGAGGGACGACAGCGTGACTTTCTTTCAGTCGTTTTGTAGATTTTAGCATTTAGCATTTTGAAAAAGTCTGATTTACCGTCTTCAAATCTCCGGCTGTTTGGATGAGAGCGACACAGGTAGGCCTGTCACGATAACACATTTGGCTGCACGATTAATTGTCTCAGAGATTATTGCGATAAGCGATAATATTGCCGTTCTGAGATCATTTTCATCTAATACACACTTTCGCTAGTTTAGTCACTGTAGAGCCTGAATGACAACTCAGGCTAGCATCTGTTCAAGTACTGTGTCCTCCATGGTCAATCCTGGTTTAGTCCTGGTTTAGTCTAGTCTGGCTAACGCCAGACGAAATATCACATGTTGTGAAGTTCGAAAGGATTCGAGCGCACACAGCAGTCTGGCGTTAGCCAGGCTAGGTTTAGTCCTGGTTTAGTCCTGCTTTAGTCCTGCTTTAGACCTGGTTTAGTCCTGCTTTAGTCCTGCTTTAGTCCTGCTTTAGACCTGGTTTAGTCCTGCTTTAGTCCTGCTTTAGTCCTGCTTTAGTCCTGCTTTAGTCCTGCTTTAGTCCTGGTTTAGTCCTGCTTTAGTCCTGGTTTAGTCCTTTTTTAGTCCTGCTTTAGTCCTGCTTTAGACCTGGTTTAGTCCTGGTTCAGTCCTGCTTTAGTCCTGCTTTAGTCCTGCTTTAGACCTGCTTTAGTCCTGCTTTAGTCCTGGTTTAGTCCTGCTTTAGTCCTGGTTTAGTCCTGCTTTAGTCCTGCTTTAGACCTGGTTTAGTCCTGCTTTAGAACTGGTTTAGACCTGCTTTAGTCCTGCTTTAGTCCTGCTTTAGTCCTGGTTTAGTCCTGCTTTAGTCCTGCTTTAGTCCTGCTTTAGTCCTGGTTTAGTCCTGCTTTAGTCCTGCTTTAGTCCTGCTTTAGTCCTGCTTTAGACCTGGTTTAGTCCTGCTTTAGACCTGGTTTAGTCCTGGTTTAGTCCTGCTTTAGTCCTGCTTTAGTCCTGGTTTAGTCCTGCTTTAGTCCTGCTTTAGTCCTGCTTTAGACCTGGTTTAGTCCTGCTTTAGTCCTGGTTTATTTCAGTCTGCTCGCTAGACCGCTAATCTTCCCGTGACCACTTTGCAGCTCTCTGACCCGAGAGAGAGAGACGGGAAAACAAACAAACAAACAAACAAGCTTCAAATGGAATTTATCGCGGCCAGAAAAGTGATCGAGCTAATTATAATTATCATGCGGTTAATTGATTAATTGAATATCGCGACAGGCCTCGACACAGACGTACTGTTGGCAGCGGCGCCGTTATGGAGAACACTGCTGATATTGCTTATTAGGTTGAGATTCATGCTCCCATTAACAGTTGACTCCGTAGTTTATTGTTATTATGATTATTATGATCTGGTTTCACACTTTGGCAACAGGACAAAAAGTATTATTTCAATTTATTGGTATTTGTAAAAGAAACTTGCAAAAGAGGCGATGTTATGTCGTGGTTTGTGTTGTGACACTGTTGTTGGTGGATGATGAAGAGGGAGTCGTGAAAACAAAAATGAATGTATAAAATAAGTGTATAAAATAGCCCCGGTACAATAAAAACAAAACACTGTCTATTCTCTCGTATATTTGACCCAGAGATATTAGCTCAGGGGTCTCCAACCTTTGCAGCCGAAAACAAAACCGGCAGAAGCGATGTGTGTTCGAGCCTTTTCTGTTTAGTTTATATGTTTGAAAAGTATTGAAAATAAACCAATTCATTTTAGAATCGTAGCAAAGTACGTCCAGAGGAGTTAAAGAAGTCGTTTGGAAAAAGCTGGTTTCAGAAAAGTAACATTTCAGGTGTTTCGCCAAAAGATCTAGAAATTAACCAGTAGGACCTCATTCCTTCAGTGCCTGGACCTCATGCCTTCAGTGCCTGGACCTCATGCCTTCAGTGCCTGGACCTCATGCCTTCAGTGCCTGGACCTCATGCCTTCAGTGCCTGGACCTCATGCCTTCAGTGCCTGGACCTCATGCCTTCAGTGCCTGGACCTCATTCCTTCAGTGCCTGGACCTCATTCCCTCAGTACCTGGACCTCATTCCTTCAGTGCCTGGACCTCATTCCCTCAGTACCTGGACCTCATTCCTTCAGTACCTGGACCTCATGCCTTCAGTACCTGGACCTCATGCCTTCAGTACCTGGACCTCATGCCTTCAGTGCCTGGACCTCATTCCTTCAGTGCCTGGACCTCATGCCTTCAGTACTTGGACCTCATGCCTTCAGTGCCTGGACCTCATTCCTTCAGTACCTGGACCTCATGCCTTCAGTGCCTGGACCTCATTCCTTCAGTGCCTGGACCTCATTCCCTCAGTGCCTGGACCTCATTCCTTCAGTGCCTGGACCTCATTCCTTCAGTGCCTGGACCTCATGCCTTCAGTGCCTGGACCTCATTCCTTCAGTGCCTGGACCTCATGCCTTCAGTGCCTGGACCTCATTCCTTCAGTGCCTGGACCTCATTCCCTCAGTGCCTGGACCTCATTCCTTCAGTGCCTGGACCTCATTCCTTCAGTGCCTGGACCTCATCATGCCTTCAGTGCCTGGACCTCATTCCTTCAGTGCCTGGACCTCATTCCCTCAGTGCCTGGACCTCATTCCTTCAGTGCCTGGACCTCATGCCTTCAGTGCCTGGACCTCATGCCTTCAGTGCCTGGACCTCATGCCTTCAGTGCCTGGACCTCATTCCTTCAGTGCCTGGACCTCATGCCTTCAGTGCCTGGACCTCATGCCTTCAGTGCCTGGACCTCATTCCTTCAGTGCCTGGACCTCATGCCTTCAGTGCCTGGACCTCATGCCTTCAGTGCCTGGACCTCATTCCTTCAGTACCTGGACCTAATATACCTGGATAAACACATAAATTGTGTGTCTGTGCAGTTTCTCCAGATTTAAACGACTAAACCAGATTTCAGACTCGCTCTAACAATTTATCACAAAGGAGTAGCTCTCAGAAAAGTAGCTCTCTGGGTGAATAAGGTTGGAGACACCTGCGCTAGGTCATTCCAAACTGCTATAACAGTTTCAGAACAGGAAACTCAGACGGGGGAAGCATCAAAACTAGATTTATATTTGTAATGTGTCATGTCTAAAACTATCTGTGCACAGGGCAGACTTTTCCAAAACAATCAATGGAAGTGACTATTCGTTTCAGTGCGTCCTGCATTTACAGCACGCTCACGGGATCCCAGGACCTTTACCGACATTTACAGATTATTTTAGTTTAGTTTAGTTATTAAAAATGACAGGGACAGTGCACAGAAGACCTCGAAGGGCAATATGCAAAGTAACAGGTTATAGCTCGAGAGATCGGCCTCTGCCCACAACGGACCAGTGGCTCTCTGCTTATGAACCGTTTGATTCTCTGATCTGTGCGAATCCCAGCTTTGTAAAACTACTGTGATTTAGGGCTATACAAAAATAAATTGAATAGAGTTGAATCATTTATCGTCCAAAAATTAACGTTGAAACCCTGGACACACAGTCACCGGATGTGTCCCGAAACTAACCTATTGAGTGTAATGTTGTTTATTACATGCATTTTTCAGACACTTCCATAAAAACATGACGTTCTAACTTTCCAGGCGATGACAGTAAAGGGAAATGAAGGGTGAAAAGACGGTGTTCGCGGTCGCTCGGTGGAGGGGGTGTGGCTCAGTCCTCTTCGTCGCTGTCCTTCATGGAGATCCCCTGCATCCCTCCTTCTCTCACGGAGGCGGTGGCTTCTTCCAGAGTCAGCCGGTTCCTCACCGTGTCGTACATCTTACTGTTGAGAGTGGAGTCCAGCACGCCCTGCAGCCGGAAGTCACGGTACTTCTTCTGCACAAGCAACCACACACATTCAGTTTATAACCCGTTACATTTTTTATTTTATTTTTTTATTCAAAGGGATAGTCTGGAACTCTAAATAAATTACATATTTTAAGAATTGTATTAAATTGACCTCCTGGCCTCTAATGTTGACATACAGTAAAATAAGTCACTTTATGAATTCCAATATTACGGGTAAGTCCCGCCTTCCCTTCTCTTAGCTATAGCTCAAAATCCACAATACTGTCTACTTTAACCAATCAGGTGATGCCGAGGGCTGTCAATCATCGCTCGTGCTCGTAGCTGCTCATGCTCAGTTGTTTGTTTTCACGGAGCCTACATTATATACTGAACCTATATCCATAATCATTTATATACTGAACCTACAGTGCCTTGCGAAAGTATTCGGCCCCCTTGAACCTTTCAAAATTTCGCCACATTTCAGGCTTCAAACATAAAGATATAAAAAAAATATTTTTGTCATGAATCAACAACAAGTGGGACACAATCGTGAAGTGGAACGAAATTTATTGGATAATTTAAACTTTTTTAACAAATAAAAACTGAAAAGTGGGGCGTGCAATATTATTGGGCCCCTTTACTTTCAGTGCAGCAAACTCAGTCCAGAAGTTCAGTGAGGATCTTTGAATGATCCAATGTTGTCCTAAATGACTGATGATGATAAATAGAATGCACCTGTGTGTAATCAAGTCTCCGTATAAATGCACCTGCTCTTTGATAGTCTCAGGGTTCTGTTTAAAGCGCAGAGAGAACCATGAAGACAAAGGAACACACCAGGCAGGTCCGAGATACTGTTGTGGAGAAGTTCAAAGCCGGATTTGGATACAAAAAGATTTCCCAAGCTTTAAACATCTCAAGGAGCACTGTGCAAGCAATTATATTGAAATGGAAGGAGTATCAGACCACTGCAAATCTACCAAGACCCGGCCGTCCCTCCAAACTTTCATCTCAAACAAGGAGAAGACTGATCAGAGATGCAGCCAAGAGGGCCATGATCACTCTGGATGAACTGCAGATAACTACAGCTGAGGTGGGAGAGTCTGTCCATAGGACAACAATCAGTCGTGCACTGCACAAATCTGGCCTTTATGGAAGAGTGGCAAGAAGAAAGCCATTTCTCAAAGATATCCATAAAAAGTCTTGTTTAAAGTTTGCCACAAGCCACCTGGGAGACACACCAAACATGTGGAAGAAGGTGCTCTGGTCAGATGAAACCAAAATCAAACTTTTTGGCCACAATGCAAAACGATATGTTTGGCGTAAAAGCAACACAGCTCATCACCCTGAACACACCATCCCCACTGTCAAACATGGTGGTGGCAGCATCATGCTTTGGGCCTGCTTTTCTTCAGCAGGGACAGGGAAGATGGCTAAAATTGATGGGAAGATGGATGGAGCCAAATACAGGACCATTCTGGAAGAAAACCTGTTGGAGTCTGCAAAAGACCTGAGACTGGGACGGAGATTTATCTTCCAACAGGACAATGATCCAAAACATAAAGCCAAATCTACAATGGAATGGTTCACAAATAGACGTATCCAGGTGTTAGAATGGCCAAGTCAAAGTCCAGACCTGAATCCAATCCAGAATCTGTGGAAAGAGCTGAAGACTGCTGTTCACAAACGCTCTCCATCCAACCTCACTGAGCTCCAGCTGTTTTGCAAGGAAGAATGGGAAAGAATTCCAGTCTCTCGATGTGCAAAACTGATAGAGACATACCCCAAACGACTTGCAGCTGTAATTGCAGCAAAAGGTGGCGCTACAAAGTATTAGCGCAACTTTGTTAACTTTGTTAAAAAAGTTTAAATTATCCAATACATTTCGTTCCACTTCACGATTGTGTCCCACTTGTTGTTGATTCTTGACAAAAAATTAAATTGTTATATCTTTATGTTTGAAGCCTGAAATGTGGCGAAGTATGAAAGGTTCAAGGGGGCCGAATACTTTCGCAAGGCACTGTATATCCATAATCAGATGTGTCCTATAATATGATAATAGCTACTTCCGGGTTTGCCACGATCGCTTTTTTGTGCATTAAAACATTATTTTTGTCATGAAAACGTGAACAGATAATTCTGAAACCTCTGTGCATGTGTATTAATAATGTATATGTATAATGTTCTCAGATTAACATTTAAATGTGTTGATTGATTGTTACGGAAACATAGGCGTAGACCAATCATGTCATTGAAGCAAAGATGTTGTGGCGTTACTCCCCACGGGCTCCGTTAGTGGCAAAGGAGATGGCTAAAGCTAGGCTACATGCTAAAGCTAGCTAGGCTAAATGCTAAATGCCTCACTCACTCGGGCTCATTACATACGTCACAGTAAACTCAGATCCAATGGTTTCAATCTGCAAAAGGAGTTAACCCCTCCCACCTGTTAACGGAGTCAATGGAGCCAATCTAGACCTGAGTATGAAATGAAATGAGTACTATGGTGCGGTATTCCTCTTAAAAAGAATTATCACATGCAACAATCCCAATGAAAGGACGCACCTTGACGATTCTGATGAGTATTTTGAGTTGGTAGACGTGCAGCTGTAGGTCCATCCTGTCTGTGAGCCACGTCCCCACCAGGTTCATGGTGCTGGTGTACCATTGCTGTAACACACAGGTACCATTACAACATACATACATACTATCACAACACGGAACGATTTTAACATGTGTATCTGTTGACGTGGAGACCAGTTTCCCAGATTTGGCAAAATGTGTCTTAATTTGAGTACAGCCCAAAAAACAAGATTTTCCGATGGGACAAAGTCATTTAGGCCCTGTCCACACGAAGTCAAGCTCAGGCCTAAACGCAAAAATACTTTATCAATCCAGTGTATCGTCCATACGAGGCCGGCGTTTTGGGGGGGTGTAAACGAACATTTTTGAAAGTAGGTCCCAGAGTGGAAAGATTTCAAAACTCCGTATATGCCGCTCCGTGGTTACTGCCTCTCCGCAATGTATCTGAGACGCTTGCGTCATCGCCCCGCCTCTTGTTAAAGCAGCATGCGCCGCACTCAGAAAATAATGACAACAACAATGTAGCTTGTTGGTTTTGTAATCCAGTGTGACCCGAAGCAACAGTTCAACCTCATCGTCCGCCCATACTAATGTAGTACCAGCTCGCCCACTCGCCATGTTGTCTGTTTACTAAATTCTGCGCATGCCCAGTTCCCGTCACGGAAGTTTGGGCTTGATCCCGTCATTGCGTCACAGCGCCACCAACAGGTCTGGCATAGTTTCACAGCGTTTTCAGGCGTATTGACTACATTCATATGGACGCACACATTTACTGAGCTAACTCCGTGTTTACAGAAAAAGTTTCTGAAATTATAAGCGTTTTGTCTTCGTGTGGATATAGCCTTAGTCTTTTTTGAAATAACTGCTGCTTTATTTTTTTATTCCAAGGAAGACATTTCTGTTTCTTTTTAAAACATTTTGCTTTGTCCCATCGGAGAATCTAAAGGCTCAGTCAGAATGTGTCAGATTAAGACACGTTACTCCACATTTAAGACATGTTTTTCATCTTTTTACAGTGAACCTACAGCACCTCCATTAGCTCCATTAGCTCCATTAGCTCCATTAGCTCCATTAGCTCCCTGCAGCCAATGCTGAAAGATGGACACCTCCTCCTCCACTACTTCCTCCTCCTCCTCCACTACTTCCTCCTCCTCCACTACCTCCTCCTCCTCCACTACCTCCTCCACTACTTCCTCCTCCTCATATTTGTCCATAGGGAGAGACCACATGGTATTGGTCCATTGGGAGAGACCACATGGTATTTGTCCATAGGGAGAGACCACATGGTATTGGACCATTGGGAGGGACCACATGGTATTGGTCCATTGGGAGAGACCACATGGTATTTGTCCATAGGGAGAGACCACATGGTATTGGACCATTGGGAGGGACCACATGGTATTGGTCCATAGGGAGGGACCACATGGTATTGGTCCATAGGGAGAGACCACATGGTATTGGACCATAGGGAGGGACCACATGGTATTGGTCCATTGGGAGAGACCACATGGTATTGGTCCATTGGGAGAGACCACATGGTATTTGTCCATAGGAAGAGACCACATGGTATTGGACCATTGGGAGGGACCACATGGTATTGGTCCATAGGGAGAGACCACATGGTATTGGACCATAGGGAGGGACCACATGGTATTGGTCCATTGGGAGAGACCACATGGTATTGGTCCATTGGGAGAGACCACATGGTATTGGTCCATAGGGAGAGACCACATGATATTGGTCCATAGGGAGAGACCACATGATATTGGTCCGTAGGGAGAGACCACATGGTATTGGACCATAGGGAGAGACCACATGATATTGGACCATAGGGAGGGACCACATGGTATTGGTCCATTGGGAGAGACCACATGGTATTGGTCCATTGGGAGAGACCACATGGTATTGGTCCATAGGGAGAGACCACATGATATTGGACCATAGGGAGGGACCACATGGTATTGGTCCATAGGGAGAGACCACATGATATTGGACCATAGGGAGGGACCACATGGTATTGGTCCATAGGGAGGGACCACATGGTATTGGAAAAAATTACTTTTTGAGTACATTTGGACAGGATTTGCCAATGGAACAAGCAAAAATATCTTGCTCCGTTGCCAACATCTAGCTATAAAACAGATCCAAAGTAAAAGAAAAGTGTTGTAGTGTTTTTAAGCAAGACCTCAAACTTCCGTCCGCGCAGTGAGAAGCTGAGTGGACATTTGGAAACTGTTAAAATCCTCGTCCTCTCACTCATGAAATAACAGTTTTTGAGTTTGAAAGAGTTGAATCATCAGGATAGAGTCTGATTGTGACCTCAGGGCTGTATTATGTAAGAGACTGTGATTCAGACCCACTCTCTTCTTTCCATCACCCAAAGGTTTGGCCATAAAGATCTATGTCATGGGTGTCATTTTTAGTTATTTATAAAGTGTTTTCTCCTGTGTTTCTCAGGTAAAGTCCCTGTGCTCTTTCCCTCGTCAGTCCATTGTGTGTTAGTTCCGTTCTTTTCTCGTCTTCATCCAAAGTTCCTGTGTTTTACATTCAGATGAGTTTTGTTTTGGGATTTTTGTTCATTAAATTATATTATGTTTGCAGTATTGTATTGTGGGTCCTTCTTCCTTTCCACCATGTGACATTCTGATAGATCTGCTTCCCGTTTTTTGTCATGGTGTTATTTGTTTTCTTGGAATGTACGGCAGTATAATAAAGCTAGGCTAAATGCTAAAGCTAGGCTAAAAACCCTCACTCACTCGGGTGCATTACATACGTCACGGTAAACTCAGATCCAATGGTTTCAATCTACAAAAGGAGTTAACCCCTCCCACCTGTTAACGGAGCCAATGGAGCAAATCCAGATCTTAGTATGAAATGAAATGAGTACAATGGTGTGGTGAGACCAGATTAGTTATAAGTTATAACCTGCAGCCACGCCGGCCCTTTCCGGAACCAGTTTGACACCACAGATTCAGACGGATCCAAGAAAAATGCAAACCCTTGAATAATAATAAGTATTATAAATTGTAAAGCAGCAGTTGCTAAATCTGGAGCAAATCATTTCTTCTTTTGTTAAGAGTAACGTTTTTCTTTTTTCTTCTGCCAGTCGACTATCTGCGTATATGTACTCTCCTGGAGAGCAGAGAACAATCGAATGCTCCTCAGACTCCATCACATTGGGTTCAGCTTATCACCCTAATTACACCAGTGCTTACAGCCAAAGCCGTGTTGGTGGTGAAGGTTGTGCTGCCATCTCTGGCCTGGCATGTGCGGCGCAGAAGATGACAGCATGTCGGTGTCGGGGCCGAAAGGCTGCAGATGTTCGTCCCTGGGCCTGGGCTGGTGCCAGTCTAATTGATAGATAATGATGCGAGCGGCTGATACTAATACAAGACGACTGACTTTGAACAGGGGGTCGCTGAAGACGGGGAGTGGGGGCAGAGGAGGGGGCGCCGGCGGTCTGTTTGTTCAGTGCAAATGAGACCTAAGGCTACAACCACAGCACAGCGGTTGGAGTTAAAGAATAAACAAAGCCATAATAAAAGACAGGAGAATATTAAAAGAATTTTGTGAAGCGACTGATAAACAAAGGCCAGTGTATATCAAAGTCCAATTACACATTTACTTAAAGGAGCAGTGTGTAAAAATGTGGCCAAAAGTGGTACTGCAGCCTCCCCCACTCTCCCTGACTCAGGTTGCCAGATATGCAGACGAATCCAGCTGGGACCATAACAGCTGAATAGACAAGAGTTTTGTCAACAACAAATCTATAACCAACACCTTTTTCACAAAGATAGAAATCCTGGTTTCATTCCTCGTTTTGTCGTTAATGATTTGAGAATCATAACGAGACCTTTTTTAGGTCTGCGCCACATGGTACTTTACCAGTGAGATTAGCTCCACATGGTACTTTACCAGTGAGATTAGCTCCACACGGTGAGTTCTGGTGATTCTGGTTGTACAGGGGCTGCAAAACTAATTTAGAAACTCAAATATCTCTAACTGATAACTACTGTTATCAGTTAAAGAAGTATTGGAAAAGAGCAGTTTATTATTTTGACAGATTAGGGCCCTTTAATGATCATCATTAATCAATCATTTCAAGTTTAATGGTGACTTGACATTAAAATCTTACATACATACTTTAAGCAACACATGTACACCAAGTATTATATTGCTGTACATTTACTTTGGAATGTTCTGGAAACAGCAGCGAGTCCTGAGTGTCTCTGAAACAGTTTTGTCTTTCTTTTTTCTGCCTGAGATGTTGCTGTAGTTCAGTGTTTATGGTTTTACACTGGTCCAGTCCAGAGCAGAGAGGATTCATGGTTTTACACTGGTCCAGACCAGAGCAGAGAGGATTCATGGTTTTACACTGGTCCAGACCAGAGCAGAGAGGATTCATGGTTTTACACTGGTCCAGACCAGAGCAGAGAGGATTCATGGTCTGAACCAAGTGGATCAGGTGAAAATCCACTGGAGGAATGCTAACTTTATTAAAAAGCATTTTACTTTGGGTCAGAGCAGAGAAAATGGTCTGAACCAAGCTCCACCTCTGCTGCTGTGATCTATAGGACTGATGGATTTTAATACTATTATTATTATTACTTTTAGATACTTTAGAATGATCAATTTATTTGTTTTGTTTGTTTGGATGGATGTGTTTCTGCTGCTGCTGGATGCCTGCATTTCTCCAACAGGATCAATAAAGTATCTGAATCTATATCTATGTTTACATCTGTACATTAGCAGCTGGAGGCTCCGGGACACAGTGTCACATGTGGTTCTGTATTGCACATTATGACATTAGTTTAAGATATTGCACAGATGAGTATGTTCAGTAAAGTGACAGTCACACGTGTGGTTCATTATTGCACATTCTGACATTAGTTTAAGATATTGCACCGATGAGGCGTGACTATGGAGCAGGACATGTCCCTCTTTGTGTTCCTTGTATAAGGAGTTGAGGCCGGTGCATGTAGGTCAGACTGAGGGAACATGGAGCTCTGGTGAGAGGAGCTTTTGGGGCAGTGCCGGGGTGAATCAGAAAGGCCCTGGTGCCAGCAGCTTCCTGTGTGTGGCTGTGTGCCTGTGAACGCTCGAGCGAGGCAGCCGGCCTGTGATCTCGCCCCCAGCACAGCCTCCCGCTGAGAGGCCAGGCCTGGAGCGACTGATCCACTCACTGCTCAGCCTCCGAGGCTTTCTGCTCCTTCACTTCTGCTCTTTAGGCTGCTTTAGCTCCCATCTGAGGTCTGTTTGCAGCAGCCACTTTGAGTGCCTTTGCTTTACTCCTGTTCATTTCAGAAAAACCACTCTGACAGTCATGTCACAGTCCTCTCGCTGCCACGACTGGCATTTTGGAGCCCTGTCAGGGACATCTTGCCTGTGATTGTCACCAACATTAGGATCTTTTGATTGTGGCTTTTGACTAAAACTTGACATTCGAGAATATATGTGAGGAATTAGACAATCATACTTTTGTTTTACTACAACATTCATGATGACGACTATGACGTATTTTGAGACCTCCTTGGAGAACAGTCAGACATTCTGACGTAAATCCATTATTAAAGCACTTTCAAACTACAGACCAGGGAAAGAACCCAGCACTGTTTCTTGTTTTCAAACTATACTGAATGCACACAATGAAGTTCTGACTGCAGACTATCATACAGCAATCACACAACAATCACACAACTATCGCACATCTATCACACAACTATCGCACAACTATCGCACGACCCATACCATCTCCTTCAAGTCAGGCCAAAGAATTGAGTAAAGTTTCCTAAAATCCAAAAGACTCAGATTCAGCCAGATAGCTGCATGAGCCTGTGAGAAAGTCCAAACTCCTGTCTCCATCTGCAGCTCGAGGTCCTCGGCTCCTCAGATGGTCCTCCATCAGGTCCTCCATCAGGTCCTCCATCAGGTCCTCCATCAGGTCCTCCATCATGTCCTCCATCAGGTCCTTCATCAGGTCCTCCATCAGGTCCTCCATCAAGTCCTCCATCAGGTCCTCCATCAGGTCCTCCATCATGTCCTCTATCAGGTCCTCCATCAGGTCCTCCATCAGGTCCTCCATCAGGTCCTCCATCATGTCCTCTATCAGGTCCTCCATCAGGTCCTCCATCAGGTCCTTCATCAGGTCCTCCATCAGGTCCTCCATCAGGTCCTCCATCAGGTCCTCCATCAGGTCCTACATCAGGTCCTCCATCAGGTCCTCCATCATGTCCTCTATCAGGTCCTCCATCAGGTCCTCCATCAGGTCCTTCATCAGGTCCTCCATCAGGTCCTCCATCAGGTCCTCCATCAGGTCCTCCATCAGGTCCTACATCAGGTCCTCCATCAGGTCCTCAGCGGCCTGTTCTCTGCGGCTGTGTTCATCCAGCAGCGACCGTGTTCGACAACAAATTAATGCTTATTTATTGAAGATATGTAGGAAATTATTCACAAGGAGAATAAAGAAGGGACATGCTTTTAAAACTAGTGTTTGGTTTTCTTAAAAAGTCCAATGTTTTTAATGAATCAAATGTAATAAATGTATGATATGGATCAGATAACCTTTATTTGTATGTGTTCAATATTCATGTCTTGTCTTGGTTCAGAATCACGTGAAATTAAAAATACTAAAATACAACTGTACATACTGTGAGTTTGACCATAAAACACATACTCAATATTCACAACTATCTATATTACTTAACAATACATGTGCTAGAACAGAACATAATGCAAATAAATTAGTTTAATAATGTCCCCCGGGTTCTGATTGATTCTAAAGCACTTTCACCACCGCCTGAGTGTCTCTCCTCACTCTGCTTCGACGGTTGTTACTTTTACCCTAACTCTCTTCTCCAAATGGTACTCTTAGCACCATTTCCGGAGCCATCTTTTCACCTCCTGACACACAAGATCTCCCCAGAACCAGCGCATCTCCTCCCACTCCGCCTCTAGTCAAACTCATAACCGTCTTGTCTTAGGAACGGCAGGATCGGGCAAATACACAGGCAAACGAACGGAACATTTTTTGTTTGGCTTCTCCACAGAACAGCGGCCGGTCCAAAGGATATGTACCCCTCCTTTCGGCCCGATAAAGGCAGTCATCAGAACAGACGATTCCACTCGAGCTGCATGGGGATCAGCGGGGGGCTAGCACTCACTCGCAGCCAAAGCAAGCGTAATGTGGCTCTGAATACATAATGACCCGACACGGCAAGGTTCAGATCTGCGACAGTGAATGCATCTCCTCGCTCCATACATGCATACATACATAAACATACATAGACGCGACCTCCTGCCCCCATCTCACACCAGGCCCAGGCAGCTTCGCACCCCGCTCCACACATGGCACTTGGCGGGAGGCCTGAACACAATACATTATTGAATAATATATAACATAATATATAACATAATACAGCATATATATATAATATATACACTACATATTATATATTACCTAATTATATGCTAAATTAAAGTAAAGTGCTTTAAGCCTGGCCTTGAATGTGGAGACCGTATCTGCTTCCTTAACATAAATGGGAAGCTGATTCCACAGTAAAGGAGCTTGGAGCTAAATGCTCTGCCACCAACAGTGACCTTTGAGACCTTAGGAACCACCAGACGTCTGGCGTTTTGTGAGCGCAACGCTCGACTTGGTTGATACGACACTAACGTGTCTTGGAGATAAGAAGGAGCCAAGCCATTTATGGCTTTATATGTTAAGAGTAGGATTTTAAACTTTATTCTGTACTCCACAGGGAGCCAGTGGAGTGATTTTAACACCGGAGTTATGTGCTCCCTCCTTTTGGTACCTGTTAAGATCCTAGCTGCTGTATTCTGAACGAGCTGGAAGCTCTTCAAAGAGGCTCTAGGGCACGCTGCCAGTAAAGCGTTACAGTAGTCGAGCCTTGAGGTGACAAACGCGTGAATGAGTTTTTCCGCGTCACTTTTAGGAAGGAAATTCCTAATTTTAGCGATGTTCCGTAAGTGGAAGTACGCCGTTTTAGTTGCTTGGCTTATATAAGCCTTGAAGGAGAGTTCTTGGTCAAAAATGACTCCAAGATTCCTCACAGTGTTACTGGGTATTATACTGACATTATCGAGAGTAACCATCTGGTTAGTGAGGGAGTCACGCAGGCGCTTCGGACCGAGTAGGATCACTTCTGTCTTCTCCGGGTTGAGAAGTAGGAAGTTAAGAGTCATCCACATTTTAAGGTCCTTTATGCAGGCACTGAGCTTTTCTAGCTGATCTGTCTGATTAGGCTTCATCGACAGATAAAGCTGTGTGTCATCTGCATAGCAGTGGAAATTAATTCCATGCTTTTTAATAATGTTTCCCAGTGGCAGCATGTAGAGAGTAAAAAGAATCGGTCTGAGTACCGAACCCTGCGGCACACCGAATTCCACTCCAGAATAAGGCGACGAGTCCTGATTCACATTGACGAAGTGATATCGATCTGATAAATAGGATTTAAACCAGCCAAGGGCTGTTCCTCTAAGACCTATATCACATTCTAGCCTCTGCAGTAGAATGCTGTGGTCTATTGTGTCAAATGCAGCACTAAGGTCCAGTAGGACCAGCACTGACACTTGTCCATTATCGGCAGCTAGTAGTAAGTCATTTGTGACTTTGACTAGAGCCGTTTCAGTGCTATGATGAGCTCTGAATCCTGATTGAAAGACTTCAAACATATCATTTTCCTGCAGGTGGCAGCGGAGCTGCTCAGCTATAAGTTTTTCCAGGATTTTAGATATAAAAGTGAGGTTTGAGATCGGTCTGTAGTTTGTAAGTATTTCTGGGTCCAGGTTTGTTTTCTTCAGAAGGGGTTTGATTACCGCGGTTTTAAAAGCTTGTGGGACATAGCCACATTGTATGGATGCGTTTATTATATATAAACGATAGGCTCAATTATCAAAGGAAGTATGTCTTTGAAGAGCCATGTCGGGACTGCGTCTAACATGCAAGTTGAGGCTTTTGAGGATGTGACCACAGAGATCACCTCTGCTTGGCTCACAGCCATGAATTTATTAAGGCCCACTGAAGAGTCTAAGTGGGAAGTCACGTATGCCGCTTCAACCTGTCCACCACTAACAGCAGGAGCAACCTCCTCCAGCTTGTCACGGATGGATGTAATTTTATTATTAAAGAAGTGGAGAAAGTCGACACTGCTCAGTGAGCTTGGAATTTTAGGCTCGATTGCGCTATGGCAGTTTGTGAGTTTAGCGACGGTACCAAACAAAAATCTACTGTTGTTTTTATTCGCTTCTATTAAAGTTGAATAGTATTGAGTTCGAGCCCCGCGAAGGGCCTTCTTGTAGTTTCGGAGACCTGCTTTCCACTCCCTGTGGACAGGCTCCGAGTGGGAGTGGCGATATAGCCTCTCCAATTTTCTGACGTCCTGTTTTAAAGTGTGGAGTTGAACACTGTACCAGGGCGACGATGATCTAATCCTAATGGTTTTCTGTTTTAAAGGAGCTGCTGCATTTAATGCAGATTTTAAAGACTCCATAGTGTTGCCCACCGTTTGGTCAATGACTGAGGGACTGCAGCTGCTGTGAACAGGTTCACCTGCAGCAGTATTCAACATAGGCTGTATTAGTTCTTTGAACCTTGTGATAGATTTATCATTTAAGGTTCTTTTCATTATGGTTTTATCTTGCGGGACAGGAAAGTCCTCCAAAGCGAGATCAAACGTGATCAAGAAATGGTCAGACAGCAACGAGCTTTGACGCTGGATGTCAACATTGGAGACATCACAGCCGTAGGTCAGGACAAGGTCCAAGGTGTGGTTATGAATGTGAGTAGGTTCCTCGACATTCTGAGTAAAACCAACACCATCTAGTACGGCGCTGAAAGCTTTGTTTAAGCTGTCAGTGCTGTCGTCCACATGTATATTGAAGTCTCCGGTTATAACTATGTTTTCCCATTCCAAAACTAGGTTTGAAATGAAGTCAGAGAATTCTGTTAGGAACTCGCTGTAAGGACCAGGAGGTCGGTATAAAACTATAAATAGTAACCGCTTTTTGTTTTCTCCACCCAGGACAGGTGATTGAAAGTGTTAAGTTTTCAAACGAGTGAAAAGCGTTGTTGGTTTTGGGACTAAGAACCAAGTTGGTTTGTGATATAATCGCAACACCACCGCCGCGACCTGTAGCTCTGGCTTTCTGGTAGTTAACATGCGTCGGAGGAGTGCACTCATTCAATCTAACGTACTCGTCCTGTTGGAGCCAAGACTCCGAGAGCGCAAACAGATCCAAGCCCTTGTCTATAATAAGTTCGTTTATGAGAAGCGATTTAGACGAGATTGATCTGACGTTCATTAAACCACATTTAACAACCCTACCGCTAGAACTATTTCTGTCTGTCTGAACTTTTATTAAGTTACTGTGTCTGACACCTAGGTCAGATTTCCTCGCATATAGTGCTTTAGACTTCAAGCGGGGAACACACACAGTTTCAATCTGACTAGGTTCTGAGGCTAGTAACTGAGCACACACAGGCACACACACACATGCACACACAGTTTCAATCTGACTAGCTTCTGAGGCTAGTAACTGAACAGATGGGGGCTCAGAGGTTGTGGCAGAGCAGCTCTGCACCCGGGCCTCAGTTCTGCATCGTCATTTGAGCCGAGCAGAACAGTTTCGAGACAGGGCCAAATTCTTAGCCAAAAGGGATGTACCCGCCAACGTTGGGTGGATATCATCCGAGCGGATGAGACCGGGCTTTCCCCAAAAGGCACTCCAATTGTCAACATGAACAACACCACTTCGAGGGCACCAGCCAGACAGCCAGCGGTTGAAAGCCGAGTGTCTGCTGAATGCTTCTGCACTGCTAGTGCTAGGTAGGGGCCCAGAGAAGATGACAGTGTCGGCCATTGTGCTAGCCAGCTTGCACACCGCGGCGACTTGCAGCTTCAACACCTCGGACTGTTTCCGCCGAACGTCATTACCACCCGCGTGAATAACAATTCAACGGAAACGCTGCTTGTGGGTCATCATGAGCCTCAGATTCCCTTCAATATCACCAAGCCTGGCCCCAGGGAAGCACCGAACAGTGGCTCCTGGGATCTTAACACCTCTAACAATAGAGGAGCCAATTACCAGCGCATCAGCGACTCCATCGGCTCTCTCAGCAGCTCTCTCAGCGGCTCTCTCAGTGGGGCCTTCTTCCCCGCCCGGCCGCGCGGGGGCGCAGCCGGACAGAGCGTCCCAGCGATTGTAAATGCTAACAGGAGGAGGCCCAATGGGGAAACTACCAACAACACGCCGCCCTCTCCGAACAGTCACAAAGCCATCACTATCCTGGTCTTGTCCCAGCTGCGGAGGACGGGCTGGGAGGCTAGGCTCGCTAGTTCTCCTCTGCCTTTCCCTAAAGCTGCGCTCCGCTGTCCCTGAGGATACGGCCTGGCTGTAGCTAATGCTAGCGCTAGCTCGAGACTCCAGTGCTCGGAGACGCAGCTCTAACTCACTGACCCTGGATTCCAGAGCTACGACTACACTACACTTCACACATCTATCACTACCCTCAGGGAAGGATCCAGGGTTTAGACTCGCCATATGGCAACTCGAGCAGTAAAGGATTGAGGGAGAGACAGCAGCCGCCATAGTAGCGAGTTAGCGGCTAGGCTAGGCTAAGCTAGGCTAGGCTAAGCTAGTACGGATCCGGGCCCGCACAACAGACTCCGAGACCAGACAAACAACCGCTACCTAAACCTCAGCTACAGTACAGCTGACTCGGAGTGCTTACACAGTTAGCTTGGTGTACAATACGTGTATTTGTAATGTGTTTGTTAGTGCAAACAGAGAGCAGAGTGATAGCAGTCAAGAAACACGCTCACCGGATACAGGAAGTCACATGTCTGTACTGACTGTACTGTTTACACATGGTAAGACCAGACGTACATGTAGGAAATGACCATGGACCAGAGTTTACACATGGTAAGACCAGACATACATGTAGGAAATGATCATGGACCAGAGTTTACACATGGTAAGACCAGACGTACATGTAGGAAATGATCATGGACCAGAGTTTACACATGGTAAGACCAGACGTACATGTAGGAGATGATCATGGACCAGAGTTTACACATGGTAAGACCAGACGTACATGTAGGAAATGATCATGGACCAGAGTTTACACATGGTAAGACCAGACGTACATGTAGGAAATGATCATGGTCCAGAGTTTACACATGGTAAGACCAGACGTACATGTAGGAAATGATCATGGACCAGAGTTTACACATGGTAAGACCAGACGTACATGTAGGAAATGATCATGGACCAGAGTTTACACATGGTAAGACCAGACGTACAATGTAGAAAATGAAGAAGTATATATTTGGTGTAGCTGTATTTTTGACAAACTACAAACTACTTTATTTTTCAGACGACTAACAATGAACCAGACCAGGTAGAGAGAGCAGACTGGAGTAACACGGCACAGACCACACGGCACTCGGCGGTGAAACACAACCTACTATTAACAATTATCCAATCGACTCCATTTGACACGTAACAGTTTTCAGGACGTGGGGCCCGGTCATTATCTGTGAAGAGGCACAGCAGGAAACAGTCGCTCTGAGCTGTTGCATAATCTCCAGACTCCAGAGAAGCAGGACCCCGAGGACTAAAAGTGATGTCGCATGTAAGAGAACAACTGTAAAGAATATTGCCTGAAGTCACTTACAAGGCGAGTCCATAATCATTCACAAAAACAGTCTGCTTTCTGTCGGTGACTGAGCTTAAAAGGGAGAAAGGAGGAGTTTCCAAAATGTTAAGAAAGAACCTCCCTTTCTACTTTTTGAACCAAACTCTCTGCTCTTATTGGACGAGCACGTATCACCAGAATGATTGACAATTGGGAGGACGAACAGTCTTGATTATCCACCTGGAAGTAGAACATCCTCCTACACTGTAAAAAGTGCAGCAGATCAGACTTAGATGTCAAATATTTTAATTAGGGCTGTCAAATGATTAATCGCTGTGAGATTAAGCAACTTTTGTTAAAGTTAAACTCATCATTCTATCAATGTGCAGAAGCCAGTACTTTTCCACTTCATGTTTTGACTATCTCTGCTGGCACCGTGGCAGCTGCTGATTGGAGGTCTCCATGCCTCCGCTCTGTATAATACATTTGCATTCTGTTGTTCGTGCTGTCTCTACCATTGACAATAAAACATGTCTTTTCTGTCTGAATGAAAGACGCGATCCCAGACTATGTCATCTTCTTCATCGCTTTAAATACAGGTTGAAAATGTATTAATTTGTAATTAATCGCTTTTCGAACGATCAGCAAATTATGCCATATTTCCTGTAAATGGGTGTTTGAATGGAAAGATACATGTATTAGTTTATTATAACAATAATAAATCCACTTAAAATGGCATTAACATTATTAACATTCTGTCTTTCAGTGACTCAGACCAAAACTATTGTTACAGATCAGGGACATTTGAAAACAGTCGAATGTTATTAAATCTGTTTGATTCACAACATTTCACTTTTGGGCACAACCAACATGAACTGGTGGTGGAAGGGAAAAATTAGGTTCCCCAGCTTTAATTTAGCAACTTTAGTTGCGCTGCGAGAGGAGACGCTTCCAGAGGCTCCATGTCCAGCCTCAGGGGTGGATTTATTGCCTGCACAGGTTACACAAAGACGCAGTGACGCTACCCAGAATGCATTGCAGAGAAAAATATAAACAATCCATTGGAAAAACTACATTTGAGCAAAAAGTTTGAAAGTGAAAAAACTGTAAATAAACTCTTTAGACAAACTGATTACTTTGATTTATTTATGTTCGGTTCAAACACACTTTTTTAGTACAGTTTGCATTTATGTCTAAAAGACCTGACCCTTGTTTAGGAAAAGTTCTACAAATAAACGTTGATTCTTGAGGATTTTATCTCTATTGTTGAATGCACTCTGGTTACTGATATTTTAATCCTGTGTTATTAACGGTGATTCTGCGGTGTGTTTAATGTGATTGTGTCTTGTGTGGATTGTGAAGTGCTTTGTGTTGCCGTTTGTTTGAAAGGCGCTCTACAAATAAAGATTTATTTATTTATTTTAGAAACAAAAAAGGTGTTTCAGATTCTAAGAAAACGTCAATCCAAATGTGCACTTTGTTGTCCCCGTAGAGAAACTCGTCCTCTGCATCTGAAGCCAATGTTACCTTTTGTACATGTTTTTAGTGGTGGTGGAAACATGGAGCAAACCTACGGAGACACAGGGAGAACATGCAAACTTCACTCAGAAAGGCCTTGTTCAGACCGGGATTCGAACCCAGGACCTTTCTTGCTAAAAGAAGCTAATGTGCTAACAACTCAGCCACATATTAGATGTTAATGTTTACGATTTATCCCTGATGTGATTTGGGTTTTGAATCCAAAACTAAATCTCTCCATTGTGAGATCAGTAAAGTTTATCTTAAATAATCAATAAAATAAAAAAATCACTATTAGCAATTTCTCTGAGACAATTTGTGTCTGAAAAAGTATGAATCCTTATGATGCCTGATAAAACTATACTGTAGTCATTTATAATGTTTTAGAAGATAAACATACAGTAAACACACTGCTGCTAACATGTACTTGGCAAGTAAAGTATATTCTAGAGCATTGGCCTTTGAGCCTGAAGGTTGTGGGTTCGAGCCCACCATGAGACCTATTTCACCGACTCCCACTGATGGCTGCTGTCGCTGTGTAATTGGGCAAGACACTTAACCCCACTTTGCCTGAAGCCCCCACTGAAAGACCAAGGCTCCTGTGGCCTCAGCACCTGCATGAGGATCAGTGAGGGGCTGGTGCTCTGACTGCCACCCCCCCGACCCAGGCATGGATTAAGGGGAAGAAAATGGATAGATAGATATTTTACACTTGTCATTGATGCTAGAGTTAGAGATTTTGTTTTATTTTAATAAGTATAGAGCTATTGTTCACTTATCTCGTGCTGTGTGCTCCTCATTCCTACTGTTCTATAACTTGTGATACAACACAAGTTATATTTCCCCACTGTGGGACAAATAAGGATCTCTTCATCTTAATCTATAAACCTTTATTCTTCCATCAGGGGGAAATATGTAATTGTTCTAGTTCTTGTTGTTTAAACTGACAGATGGAGCTTATTGTCCTGTAGAATATGTTTTTTCTCCTTGGTATTTGAACTGCTTCAATCAAATGTCGTTCTTTGTACCAGGTGTGAGTTTAAACTTTAGTATTCACACTATTTCAAACCAAACTACTACATTTCTCCAGAGCACTGTCAAACACAGATGATGTTGAGCCGTGTGGTGCCTGCAGCCTGTCCTGTCAGACATCCCTCTGAGTCTATAACACCCCTCCCCCACCCCTAAATACTGCCCTTGACCTCTGTGCTCTTGCCCCGTCCCAGTCTCCTTACACCCCCCCCTCCACGCACCAGTCCACATCAGTCCAGACTGAGCTCTCCGCTGGCCAGGGGCTAGTGAGGTCTCCCCCTGAGGCCAGCAGGACTTGTCCCAGCTGAGAGGCCCGGGCAGCTGCCAACCAGGGCCCTCTCCATCCCCGGTGTGTGGGTGATCGCATTTGTCAAGCCGCCACTCTCTGTCAGAGCTGCACTGATCACCACAATTATGGGTTAAGTGAGGACAGAGGGGGTTCTGGCCCTGGCCCTGGTCCTGGCCCTGGCCCTGGTCCTGGTCCTGGCCCTGGTCCTGGTCCCAGAGAAGTCCCAGGTGACTCTCCGCTCAACAGCCTATGATGGCATAGAACTGTGTGACTGAACAAAATACATGCAATGACTTTTATGTCTGTAACGTGGTCTCCCTCTAGTGGCTTAAAACTGTAACTGCAGTGCATTAAACTACAGGGAGACAGTGTTGAATTCTTTTATTGGCATTGTCACAGGAGGGTTTGTTCGGGCAGTGGTTCTCAAAGTAGGAGTCAAGAGATGATTTCCATGAAAGAAAAAGAAGTGGAACAAAGCTCTAATATAATATTTGTGTATGTACATTTTTGTTGCAATTGATTTGATTCAATATGATACGAGTTAAATTGTATTTGAAGAACGGACATTACTAGATTACGACAGCGTCAAGCAAAGTGTGGGAACCCCTGAGTTAGACTGGTGCAATCTTTATAAAATGTCTTAAAATGTCCACTTTATATAAGTATAAAGTGGACATTTTGTATCAATATACACTGAGAGTCTGAGACATATACAATGGATATTTATCAGTGCTTGTCAAGTATAAGGTGGCAAACTTAAAGGGCAGGGGACTCGTGGAGAGAAAGTTGTTGTCCATTTTGTTTTGCCAAGAAAGTTTTTTAAAATGTTCCATCTCTGTAGAAATATGCAGGAAAATACCACAAAAAAAACCACAATGAAATGAATCAAGTATGTAAAATAAACATGAGAATTAATGACTTTTAAAAGGACATTTTTCTAAAGCATCTGTCACTAAGATAAATCTTCTTACTTTCTTATGGAGGCTGGCGGCTGCGGCTGTGGCTGCAGCTGTGGCTGTGGCTGCAGCTGTGGCTCAGTCGAGGGGGAAGACCCGTGTTGTTGGATCTCGTGTTTCTGTCCTTTAGTTCCACTGTTGGCTGAGGAGAGTGGCGCTGGAGAGATGCTCCCCACAGACGCTGCTCCCAGGCCGGGACAAGAGCCTCCAGAGACGCCCAGTATCTGCGCTGGAAACACATGACACTGAACCAACTCTGAGGAGCACAGGGACTGGCCTCCTGCTGGGACTCTGAGGAGCACAGGGACTGGCCTCCTGCTGGGACTCTGAGGAGCACAGGGACTGGCCTCCTGCTGGGACTCTGAGGAGCACAGGGACTGGCCTCCTGCTGGGACTCTGAGGAGCACAGGGACTGGCCTCCTGCTGGTCCCAGAGTCAGGACTAAACATGGAGAGGCTTCATCACAGATTCATGCAGCTAAAATCTGGAACAGTCTTCCTGAAAATGTGAGACAGGCTTCTGCTCTGTCATCGTTTGAATCCAGGTTAAATCAGTTGTGTTTATCTGTGCTACAACTGAAGGAATTTTATATTTGCATCTTTCTTTTTAATGTTCTGAAATGTTGTTTTTTCTCAGCACTTTGAGCACTTTGTGAATGAATTGTATAATCTATAATTCTATTTGGACTGATTCATTTTTAGCTCTTCAGGCGCTGCATGAGCTTCAGAACACAGGATACTCCCATAAACCTTTCCCTGCATCTTTCTTACATCTTTTTCTTTTATTTTGGCCTGTTATTGGTTTGAACAGTTCTCTATCTCTTCTAAACTTTCAGGGCCCCACTTTTTTCAAAAAAAATAAATAAAAAAAGACGAGAAACCTCTCTTTCACTTCAGTTTGAGGTCCTGGCGGATGTCCTCCTCTAATCTCCAGTGTGGGCAGGTCCCGGCTCCAAAAAGGTCCCTGAGTCAAGCGTTGACGTGCTGCAATCTCACTCCTTACCGGTGGTGGGGGTGTACCCGGAAAGAGAATTGCCCAATGCTTTTGTATGGCATCTTCTTTACTCTCAAAAACGTCTTTACAGGATGGTCCAAAAGTGGCTCTTGGTCCAAAGCTACGTTCCAGATGCTGTCGATGTTGAAGGGAGTATTTATTTTGGACCTGTCTAGTTTAGCCGCTGTGGACTTTTGAATGCACTTGTTAAATGAATGGGGCTAGTGCAGCTAACACATGAGCATATGCATTTTATCAATAGACTGTATCTCTGTCATTGAAACTAATGTGCCACCACTTTTATCTTCTGTGGCTCTTTCAAAATGGCCGCGGGGGCTGGAAAACATGATAAATACATTTGCGCATCCGTCAGCTGCACTTGCCCCATTCATTTAACGAGTGCATTCAAAAGTCCACAGCGGCTAAACTAGACTGGTCCAAAATAAATACTCCCCTCAACATCGACAGAATCTAGAACGTAGTGTTGGACCGAGAACCACTTTTGGACCAAGAACCAGTTTTGGACCAAGAACCAGTTTTGGACCAAGAACCAGTTTTGGACCAAGAACCACTTTTGGACCAAGAACCACTTTTGGACCAAGAACCACTTTTGGACCAAGAACCACTTTTGGACCAAGAACCACTTTTGGACCAAGAACCACTTTTGGACCAAGAGCCACTTTTGGACCAAGAACAACTTTTGGACCAAGAACCACTTTTGGACCAAGAACAACTTTTGGACCAAGAACCACTTTTGGACCAAGAACCACTTTTGGACCAAGAACAACTTTTGGACCAAGAACCACTTTTGGACCAAGAACCACTTTTGGACCAAGAACCACTTTTGGACCAAGAACCACTTTTGGACCAAGAACCACTTTTGGACCAAGAACCACTTTTGGACCAAGAACCACTTTTGGACCAAGAACCACTTTTGGACCAAGAGCCACTTTTGGACCAAGAACAACTTTTGGACCAAGAACAACTTTTGGACCAAGAACCACTTTTGGACCAAGAGCCACTTTTGGACCAAGAACAACTTTTGGACCAAGAACCACTTTTGGACCAAGAACAACTTTTGGACCAAGAACCACTTTTGGACCAAGAACCACTTTTGGACCAAGAACCACTTTTGGACCAAGAACCACTTTTGGACCAAGAGCCACTTTTGGACCAAGAACCACTTTTGGACCAAGAACCACTTTTGGACCAAGAACCACTTTTGGACCAAGAACCACTTTTGGACCAAGAACCACTTTTGGACCAAGAACCACTTTTGGACCAAGAGCCACTTTTGGACCAAGAACAACTTTTGGACCAAGAACCACTTTTGGACCAAGAACAACTTTTGGACCAAGAACCACTTTTGGACCAAGAACCACTTTTGGACCAAGAACAACTTTTGGACCAAGAACCACTTTTGGACCAAGAACCACTTTTGGACCAAGAACCACTTTTGGACCAAGAACCACCTTTTGGACCAAGAACCACTTTTGGACCAAGAACCACTTTTGGACCAAGAACCACTTTTGGACCAAGAACCACTTTTGGACCAAGAGCCACTTTTGGACCAAGAACAACTTTTGGACCAAGAACAACTTTTGGACCAAGAACCACTTTTGGACCAAGAGCCACTTTTGGACCAAGAACAACTTTTGGACCAAGAACCACTTTTGGACCAAGAACAACTTTTGGACCAAGAACCACTTTTGGACCAAGAACCACTTTTGGACCAAGAACCACTTTTGGACCAAGAACCACTTTTGGACCAAGAGCCAGTTTTGGACCAAGAACCACTTTTGGACCAAGAGCCACTTTTGGACCAAGAACAACTTTTGGACCAAGAACAACTTTTGGACCAAGAACCACTTTTGGACCAAGAACCACTTTTGGACCAAGAACCACTTTTGGACCAAGAACCACTTTTGGACCAAGAACCACTTTTGGACCAAGAACCACCTTTTGGACCAAGAACCACTTTTGGACCAAGAACCACTTTTGGACCAAGAACCACTTTTGGACCAAGAACCACTTTTGGACCAAGAGCCACTTTTGGACCAAGAACAACTTTTGGACCAAGAACAACTTTTGGACCAAGAACCACTTTTGGACCAAGAGCCACTTTTGGACCAAGAACAACTTTTGGACCAAGAACCACTTTTGGACCAAGAACAACTTTTGGACCAAGAACCACTTTTGGACCAAGAACCACTTTTGGACCAAGAACCACTTTTGGACCAAGAACCACTTTTGGACCAAGAGCCACTTTTGGACCAAGAACCACTTTTGGACCAAGAACCACTTTTGGACCAAGAACCACTTTTGGACCAAGAACCACTTTTGGACCAAGAACCACTTTTGGACCAAGAACCACTTTTGGACCAAGAGCCACTTTTGGACCAAGAACAACTTTTGGACCAAGAACCACTTTTGGACCAAGAACAACTTTTGGACCAAGAACCACTTTTGGACCAAGAACCACTTTTGGACCAAGAACAACTTTTGGACCAAGAACCACTTTTGGACCAAGAACCACTTTTGGACCAAGAACCACTTTTGGACCAAGAACCACTTTTGGACCAAGAACCACTTTTGGACCAAGAACCACTTTTGGACCAAGAACCACTTTTGGACCAAGAGCCACTTTTGGACCAAGAACAACTTTTGGACCAAGAACAACTTTTGGACCAAGAACCACTTTTGGACCAAGAGCCACTTTTGGACCAAGAACAACTTTTGGACCAAGAACCACTTTTGGACCAAGAACAACTTTTGGACCAAGAACCACTTTTGGACCAAGAACCACTTTTGGACCAAGAACCACTTTTGGACCAAGAACCACTTTTGGACCAAGAGCCAGTTTTGGACCAAGAACCACTTTTGGACCAAGAGCCACTTTTGGACCAAGAACAACTTTTGGACCAAGAACAACTTTTGGACCAAGAACCACTTTTGGACCAAGAACCACTTTTGGACCAAGAACCACTTTTGGACCAAGAACCACTTTTGGACCAAGAACCACTTTTGGACCAAGAACCACTTTTGGACCAAGAACCACTTTTGGACCAAGAACCACTTTTGGACCAAGAACCACTTTTGGACCAAGAACCAGTTTTGGACCATCCTGTAAAGCCGTTTTCGAGAGGTAAGAAGATGCTATACATTAGCCATGGCTAATTCTTATTTCGTGTCCTCCCCCCACTGGCCCAGGGTGGTATTGCAGCATGTCAGCGCACGTCATTTTGGACATTTTTGAGCCAGGACCCGCCCACACTGGTTTTTTTCACATTTTCTTGCCCTGCGGCCATTTTGAAAAGGCCCACAGAAGGCAAAAGTGACGGCTCATTAGTTTCATGGTGGAGATAGGTGTGACCTCTTGGTTCTGCAGACTGGACCATGGCAGCTGTGCGTCTCTGAGTCTCTGCTCCACACTCTCCAGCTCCTGTGTGGAGAAGAACCGGTCATTTCTTGGGACCTTTCGTGGTGATGATAGAAGAGACCTGTAGAAGTCGATGGTTCCTGGTGACTGCTGCCTGCTGCTGGTCTCTGCTCTGGCTGCGATGGTCCCACAGCTGCAGTCTGCGCTCCTCCATCTTCTCCAGCAGAGTGAATCTCCTCTGGATACTTTCAGGGATGAGAGGAATACGTTTGTTTTATCAATAATAAGGATTTATTCATATAGCACATTTTCACAGACTTTGTTTCTATCTTGTTTAGTTTAGTTTATTAATGGAATGCTCTTGAAATGTGCCGTGAGGTTCTTGAGGGGGTCCTCTTTGAGTTGCTTTGTGGAGTGAGTGGAAATTGGGGATTTGTATTTTGTTTGATATTAACTTAAATGTTTTGTAAATGATATTATTTAAAGTCTGTAAGTGTAAGACAGTCATGTATCTGGCTACATTAGAATAAGTTTAGATAAATCTGGAACTTCAGCCCAGGGACTACTGCTGGAGGTTAGCATCTTTGCTTTAACCTGGTACAATACATTTATACTTTGTGTTAATGTTGAATTGTACACTGTCCCTGAATGATCAAATAAAGTTCATACCATACCAAGTTTTACCATAGACTGTAAATACCAAACTCACCCAATTATAAGACTATCTGAGACCCGTTTATGGACATTTATTAACATGTATGGACGTCCTGCAGTGTTCAAACGGGTTGATTCTCTGATCTGTTGTTGGTGAATCAACAACTTTGTTAAGTCCCTCGATGCTACTGCTGTGGTGTTTTAGGGCTATACAAAAATACATTGAATTGAACTGAAACTTTTCGTACAACACTGGATAGTGGATACGTACAACACATAACCGCTAGCTAAATGCTAATGCTAATGCTTTACAGTACACCAGGGCTCTCCAACCTGTAGCTCACCACTCCCTCTCAAGTAGCTCCCCAAAAGGATACAAACATTTTAAAGAATCTTATTTTTTTTCTCTCAATAGGATTTTTATGCCTACACAACTTTAACTTTGCACTAAAGATTTATAACAAAGCAGATCAACACAATCCACTTTTACGTATAGCACAGAAGGGGAAAAAAACACATTACAATCCCTAAATATTCAATGGTTTTCAGTTAAATACCCCACAAAGAATCCACTCCATTCTACAGTAATGACTCCATCTATTTTGAACTGTAGCTCTCTGCCGTAAAGAGTAGAGCTGGGCTTCACACTAAAGGGCATAAAAATTAGATTTCAATTATCAGAAGATATTTTATGTTTTTCATGTTTCCAAACACCTCCTCTGTCCATTAGAAGTTGCTAGAACATAACTTTTTTATACATTTGACAAGTTTCCTGTAGCAGCCCTGTTTATTTCATGTACGTGAGGATTTGGAATGAGCTGAGTATCTCCAGATCCACATTTGATTCAGAGATTCTACTTTTTTACACAAAGTAAACAAAGTGATACTTTCTTATAGTCAACCAATTAAATGTGAAACCAGACCAGATTCTTTTTTTCTCAAGTTTAATTTTTAGAGAAAATAGGACGGTAACCATCACGTCCGTTACACATTTTTCAAGGGTCATTTAATGAATTAATTGATTATTGTATCTAATCTATGATAGTAATTTTAGTTTTTGAGTTATGACCTTTTAAAGTCTAGATACTTTAATTGACGCTTTACTGTGAACACACTCAGCTCTCTGTGAGGAAAAGGTTGGGGACCTCTGCTCTACAGCATGGATCTAATACGAATAAAGTCTATGACAAACACACGCAGCTCTCACTCCGTCTTCCACTTCCTTTTAACTCAAGGTTAATTAGGAAAGCTCATGACAGGACCCTCTCCCAAACATCCATGTGCTGACACAGACAGATACTTACATTTGCTCATGTTTTATGTTTAATTCCACGGCGCTGCGTCTGAAGCTTCTGGGAGGATTCAGGAAGGAAAACATATGAAACACACCAAAGTATCTCTGCATGTGTTTGTAAATGTCAAATAACACTCTCTCCTTCAGAATACTTCACTTATACACACAGATAATGTTGTTTATTTTGACAGGGGTTTTCGTTACCTCACCGAGCCATATACCTGCCGTTTCCATAGTGACGCACAGTGGGCTGCCCCCTGCTGGTGAACACGGGCGTTACAACTCCATTCCACATTTAAAGGTACAGTAAAGTTTGCGCTCTTCCGAGTTTAGTACAGAAAATTAATGTCACAATCATGATTAAAAGCCACACCTTTTTGCCCCATGTCTTGTCTGCACTCTCTCCTGCGCGTCTGTGGACCAATGTGACTCTGCTGTGACCAAACCAGATGGATTTCACTCAAAAACAAACAAACTGGCATCCCAAATAAGACATGTGATACGAATTCTGCTTTCTGATTGGATTCTTCAGAACCACAGCGGCTGCACCACCTCTGCCGCTCTATCTATCTATAAAGATTTAACTTAATTAATTAAAATTTAAAAAAGTATACCCCACTTGATATATTCATCATGTCTATTGTATCTTTTGATTCATTTTTATTTATTTTTTATCAGAAAAGGTCAAATTATGATTTTTCAAGAAACAATTGACCCTATTCATCCATTCATTTTCTTCCCCTTAATCCATTCCTGGGTCGGGGGTGGCAGTCGCTGCACACAGTACACAGAGCACCAGCCCCTCACTGCTCCTCCTGCAGGTGGCTAGTCCAGTGTCACAGTGCTTGGGGCTTTTGCACAACCTTCTTGGGTATTTTAGTTGTCCCTGTCCACACAAATTAACGTCCCACAAATCCAGAAGTGGAGAATCGACCGGCCCTAACACATGGTACTTACTGTTTGTCCCCTCATGAAGGCCTGTGTGCCATAATTAATATTTTTATTAAGGACAGTGCCTTGGTTTTTTGCATTTTTATTCACTAATCCCCTTTAAAAAGATCACCTTATCGGTCTTCAATTATGGGACCAGGAAGTGATCCACTCCTCTCTTATCAAATCTGCTGCTGTGACTTTTTACATTTATTTATTTATTGGTTTTGGATGGATGTGTTTCTGCTGCTACTGGACACAATTTAAGTCACAATTTATGCCACTAAGATCAATCAAAATGGGAAGGAAAAACCAGGAAGCATTGGATCTTGGGCTGGCTACTATTTACAGTAGCCAGCCCAAGATCCACAGAGTTAAAATTATAGCCTTTAGCTCCTGGCTCGGCTCCTGGCTCGGCTACTGGCTCGGCCCCTGCTCGGCCCCTGGCTCGGCCCCTGGCTCGGCTCCTGGCTCGGCCCCTGGCTCGGCCCCTGCTCGGCCCCTGGCTCGGCCCCTGGCTCGGCCCCTGGCTCGGCCCCTGGCTCGGCCCCTGGCTCGGCCCCAGGCTCGGCCCCTGGCTCGGCCCCAGGCTCGGCCCCTGGCTCGGCACCTGACTCGGCTCCTGGCTCGACCTCCTCTTCAAAACTTCAGGCATCTACCCAAAGTTTTTTTTTATGGATTTCCAGTCAGCTACATTCATTATAGTAGTACACATGGAATCACATCAAAGATGTCAATGTAAACATGTTTTGTATTCATAAAAACAATATATTCCCTTCAATATTTGTTGTTTTTTTGTTTATTATTACTGCGTTCATTACCCAAACTGTTCATACATTACAATGATGACTTGAGGTGAATTTCTTTTGAAAGCAAAGTAGTACAAATACAACATATCCTGGTGAGACGCGGCCCAAACCTTTAAGTCTTTGGTAAAAAGGTTTCCAAAATCCAACCACAGTAAATTCAAACCGCTCCAGGGACATACAGCACTTCCCCCGATTGTTGTGCTGAGTTAGAGTAAAGTTTGAACTCATATCAAGAGCACAATGCACCTGACAGCATCACAGAGGTACGTGAGATTTCCAAAGGCAAGTGGACGTGTCGGGTCACAGTAGTTACTTTTCCAAGCGCTTGTCGTGGCCCTGAACGCACCACACAGAGTCAGGAGGGTTTGGCGTGGACACAAGGCCTCGAGGTCTGGGTTCATCACAAGCACAGATTCAGAAGTCGGCTTTAGTTTGTGATTTTAAGCAACGTTCAACAGTCGGACTAGCTTTGAATGCTCCTGCTCAGGTTTTATGTAAATGACGAGACTTGACCCTAAAAAAGGTCAGTCGTAGGTAGCTTCATAATGGAGTACCATGCTTGACGTCCACCAACAATTGGCTACTGGACTCGCCTGTGGTCATAAAAATCCTCCATGTGATTTATTTATTTGCATATGGATCAGTCAAACGAGGCCTCCAGCAGCCAAGATGTTGTGTTGAATTAAAAACGCTAAATATGAACAAGTGAAAAACTCTAGCACTTTATCTGCCCGAGTTCTGAATCTGTGCTCGTCGGTCAAATTAAAAAGTACTTGCATCACTTCATGTTTGTGTTGGATGGATGTGAAATAACTCAAAGTCTGGGTGGCATAGCAGCTGAGACAGTGGTCACAAAGAACATGTACAAAATCACAAGGTTATTATGATAAGGATATATTTATATATGTATACATACAGTATCACCGTATATTAAAAAGCATAATGTGAATTATACAAACAAATAAGAATTTCACAGTAGCAGTTGTTACACCACCTAAGGATCCCCGTGTGGCTGAAGAAGTGAAGTGTGAGGAAGCAGAATGTGCAGATGTGGTTCCTGTTCGAGAACAATGACATACATTCATTGGCCACTTGATTTGAGACGGCTTATGAGCACTTTATTATGAGCTTATCCAACCACAAAGGCAGGGGCGGTCTGAGGAATTATCACTGTTATTAGGATTTGAAAGACTTTATATGAACATGGATGATTCAGTGCATCAAGGCGGCGTAGCCAATCACATGCTTGCATTCAGGATGGAAACGTTAAGACAGAGTAGAGCTGTACCCTAGGAGCCTGCGCTTTGTTTTGGTGAATGTGTAAAGGCATTGAGTTCCAGAGAGGATGAATATGAGCAACAATAAAACACATGTCTGTAATAAAATGGTCAGAGAGTGTGAGAGTCTCTGCAGACGCCGCCAGCAGGGGGCAGGATGAGCAAAGGTTTCCAGAAATGGTTAATTCAAGTCCAAGGCCATGGAATGTTGAACCCAGCTGTAGTGGATGAGGTCCGAGAGACTGTAGAAGAGGCAGTAACACTGACATTTTAGTGCAAACAAGAACAGACAAAAAGTGTTTCTCGTTGCCTACAGTCATTAAACTGAAAAGCGCAGGAGCAGCCTCTTCAGTAGGAGAACTATTCGACATAAAATGGCGAAAGAAAAATAAATATCAAAAACTTTTCAGTGTAAAAAAGTAATCAGGTTATTTTAACCAAGAGTCTGGCAAAAAGGCCTCAAAAAGTCTTGTCCACAATAGTCCAGGGGAGTCCCCGTGTGGGACCCTGTGTCGGAGCTCACACTCTGTGAGGCTTCTCTGAGAGCGCAGAGGGGCCACTGTCCCGACTGGACAGGCTCAGCACGGCTCGGTACAGGAACTCAAACTGCTCCTGTGGAAGCAACATGTGAGATCACAGGACACCAAGACACAACACACATATATATATATATATATATATATATATATATATATATATACATACACACACAGTATATATATATACAGTACAGTATACAGTATATATATATATATATATATATATATATATATATATATACAGTATACAATATATATATATATATATATATATATATATATATTGTATACTGTACTGTATATATATATACTGTATACTGTACTGTATATATATATATACTGTGTATGTATATATATATATATATATACACAGTATGAATGAACACTTATCTGTGCTGTGAATATTGTTGTTTGTTTGTAACTTTCATTAAAATGCTTTGTTCACATAATGATAATGGTTACTCCTTTCCAATATCATAATATATTGTGTGTTTACTCACTGAATATGTTGAACAAAATAAACACATAGTAAAACACATCCATGAAAAATAAAATAAACGTTTGGACGTTGTAGAGACTGTACTTACAACGTCAGAAAAAACCCTTGGCCTCATGAGGTTGATCATCTTGGCCACTTGATACACATCCACGATGCCTTCACACTCCAGCTGCTGAGAGAGTGTAGTGAGAGCACAGAAGAGGCCGGCGGACAGCGCCCCCAACCTGCACACAGCAACACAACCACGGACACACACGTAAGGAGGACGCCATCTTAGACACAGTGTTGTAAATACACATGCATCACAACTGTGCGCACTTTTGAGTTACTTTGGAAGTGTTTCTGTGTCACTCATTATAACCAGGACTTAAGAGTCTGAGTGTGATGTGGAAGCAGGTCCTGCATGTTCCTGTGTGGACACAGACATGGTCCTACATGGTCCTGCATGTTCCTGTGTGGACACAGACATGGTCCTACATGGTCCTGCATGTTCCTGTGTGGACACAGACATGGTCCTACATGGTCATGTTCCTGTGTGGACACAGACATGGTCCTGCATGTTCCTGTGTGGACACAGACATGGTCCTACATGTTCCTGTGTGGACACAGACATGGTCCTACATGTTCCTGTGTGGACACAGACATAGTCCTACATGTTCCTGTGTTCCTGTGTGGACACAGACATGGTCCTACATGTTCCTGTGTGGACACAGACATGGTCCTACATGTTCCTGTGTGGACACAGACATGGTCCTACATGTTCCTGTGTGGACACAGACATGGTCACAGTGGCTCCTGAGGTCACCTTCACATTGTTCCATCTGTCATTAGCATTCTGTCAGGATGGAGCAGAGAGCGCGGCTAACGGCCCACGCCCGGATGAATAATGAGCACGCACACGATTACACGAGCCTCTAACTGACACTCTCCGAGCGCTGGAGCTGCCTGCACCATGGAAACCAGATGAAGAGATCAATTAGTCACTTTCCTTCAAGAGGATGCGACAAGCAATCTCCATTATTCCCATGAATAAACATGAGGGGCCTTCAGAGTGTCATTCAGAAGCTCTAATCTGTGTCAATGCCAAAGACACTTTGATTAGGTGTAATTGGACAGTTTCTGGGGCGGGTACCTGAGGGAGGCGGAGCCATCTTATCTGACACATGTTGCACTAAAGAAGGACACCTCCAGTATTCACTAAACTGACTTCAGGTTGATGCAGAAGCCTCTCAGCAACAATTCTGCATCACATTATAATGTAATACAGTAGGGCCTCAATAATCCTATAGTACTACTGTGTACTTCCGAGTACTTCTGTGTACTGCTGTGTACTGCTGCGTACTTTGAGTACTTCTGTGTACTTCTGTGTACTGCTGGTGATACCAGACCCACTTAAATGTGGAAAATACACAGCACACTCGGATAGATGTCCAAAAGATCTAGTATTTATTAACGTTTCGGCCTTAGCCTTTGTCAGATCATTTTTATCTTGTTCATTTGGATCACAATAACCCACTGCCTGCAGTCAACTCTGGACCTCTGAGCTTCTTCCACATGTGACAAAGTCTCTGCTCTAAAAACATCCAGCTCCTGATGACAGAGTCCTGTGTGTCTTGTTTTTGTAAAAGACGTAAAAATAAATGATCACAGAGAAATGCTGTTCTGAATTTGGATTCATCAATTATTATTTTTGTGTTCAGATTCATTGAACCTTTTGAAACTGTGTTTTCTCAGTAGACAAAGAAGTGAACGTACTCGTCGTGGACGATGGTGGGTCCGTCTCTGTTGGCCGACTCCTCTTTGATCACGTTGATCAGTTCAAAGGTGCAGCTGAGCGGAGCGTCAGGGTTGGGCCACTTCGGGCACTGAAAATGTCGCACTTCTAACATGTAGTCGTCCTATAACGAACACAAAAGAGAGATGAGAAATCCTTGGTTCCTCTCATGGGGAGAGCAGCTCTGGCTTAATAATGACTGTTTATGTACAAACAACATGGATATGGAAATATAAGTTTAAAACTTCAAATTAAAGACCAACAAAAGACCAACAATATCGTGTAATGATTGCATATGGTATGATTATAATTCAATCTGGAGAGACTGGAACAGATGGAACATGGTATCATTAGAATGGTATATTGTTGGCAGTAATCTGACACTACATCAAGGACACACTCTGAGGACCATATTTTAAAAATTACATTTATTGTGCTGAACAGAATGTAGTTAGGATTTGGCCTTTGACCCCGGAAGAGCACTGCACAATCGCAGAAGGGGAAATTAATTATGATGAAATCCCCCGTAGCCCAGACCCTGGAGGTGGTAGTTTCGGAGCAGAATGAAAGAGCCTGGAACGAGGCATAATGGGGAGGAGGAGGGTTGCTGCGTGAATGAAGCTGCTGTTGGATGGAGCTTCAGCGGATATGAACCTGAGGTGGGCAGTGCCTGTTGCTGCCAGGAGAGGGCAGTGTGGCGCTGCAGCTGAGTGTGATTAATAGATTACTGTAGCTGTGAGTGTGAGCTTAGTTCTCATGTCTTCCAGTCTGAAACTCCGCTTTAGCTTCATTTTTTCATGTTGGATGTTCTACACCATCTCTGCTGCTGTGACCGGAAGTGCAGTTTCTTATCATTACTTTTATTGTTAGCTTTTTAGAATGATCTGTTTGTTTGGATTGATGTGGTTTTGCAGCTACTGGACGCCTGCATTTCTCCTACAGGGATTAATAAAGTATTCTATCTATGTCATGTTATATTTCTAATAATACTTACTGTTATTGTACAAATACTGTGTTTTAACATTATCAGCACCACTTATCAAAGAGAGCATTGTCTTTGGAAGTAGATGTTTGGCACTGGAGTTGGATAAACAGCACAAACTTGATCTCAGACCTGAGTGGCTTCCAGGATAAAGTGGTGGATGCTGAGCTGCTCGTCATTGGACAGACACAGATGCTCCTCGTTCATCAGTGTGACAGTGAAGGCCTCACAGTTGATGGACTCTCCTGGACTGGGCCAGTACACAAACTCCTCCTCTGCCTGCACAACAACAACGGTCAACCCACACAGCCACCTCTGTCGTCCTGTAACTTAACTTTATACTATAGGTCCATCATTTACAAAGGATTTATACAAATGTTTGATTATAGTGCGGAATTTTTATCAACTGGTCTACCATCCAGGAAATACCATCACATTAGTCCAGTTTTCAGCTCAGAGAAAAGACTTTAGCAATAAACCACAGATCTGCAAGTCTCTCCATGGTCTCGCACCAAACAACCAACTCTGACCACAGGGACTGGACTCCTGCTGTGGACTCTGAGGAGCACAGGGACTGGACTCCTGCTGTGGACTCTGAGGAGCACAGGGACTGGACTCCTGCTGTGGACTCTGAGGAGCACAGGGACTGGACTCCTGCTGGGACTCTGAGGAGCACAGGGACTGGACTCCTGCTGTGGACTCTGAGGAGCACAGGGACTGGACTCCTGCTGTGGACTCTGAGGAGCACAGGGACTGGACTCCTGCTGTGGACTCTGAGGAGCACAGGGACTGGACTCCTGCTGGGACTCTGAGGAGCACAGGGACTGGCCTCCTGCTGGGACTCTGAGGAGCACAGGGACTGGTCTCCTGCTGTGGACTCTGAGGAGCACAGGGACTGGCCTCCTGCTGTGGACTCTGAGGAGCACAGGGACTGGGGCTGGTCCCAGAGTCAGGACTAAACAAGAGGAGGCCGGGTTTCAGACCTTTGCTTACTAAAATATGATATCAAGTGATAAATGGACTTGCTCCTCTTTGTCCATGGATTTTATCAGTAAAACAACAACAGTGGAGTCAGAACCAGACACTGACCAGAGGAGACTCATGTAAAAAGGTGCAGTGCTACATTCAGCCACATGGTGGCGCCCATCAGAGACACAGAGGAACACCATGTCAGAACCATGAGTAACATTAATCAAACCAGACATGCTTCCATAGATGAAGTTCTGCTTTTGACATCTATAATCTACTATGTCACAGACCTAAAGTATTGTATAGAAGCATTTATGTCCAGACGGCCGCTGTGCATACACTGCAAAAAGTGATCAAAAACAAATAAAAAATTGCTCTAGTTTGGTTAACTGCATCTTAATTTTAGCGGTCTTCATACAAGATTCTCCAATAGAGCAAAGCAAAATGATTTTGTTTTACAAAGATACAGAAATGTCTTCTTTGGAATGTGAAAACAAACAGTTCTTGAAATTAGACTAAATGTCTTTGCCCCACTGGAGAATCTCGTTTTAACACAGTCAGAATGTGTAATTTTACCACAAAAACCATCCGATTCAAGAATTTATCACCTCATATTTGATCATCTTTTGTAGTGTGCACTGCTGCACCAGCATTAACCGTTTAAAACTAGAATGTTTGGATGTAGAGCGACAGGTGTTAATGTTCCAGGGGTAATGATGGAGTGCTGTGCCCCTCGTCTGCTGACAGCCTGTGTTTAGCGCAGAGCGGGTGTTTGAGGTTAGCTTACCAGGCTCTCATCTGCAGGCAACATAACAATAATTTGTGCATTATGGTCCCAGATCATTCTCCAGAAGTCTTTAGTGGTGTGTGGGAGGGGGTGCTGAGTGACAATGAACTCATTACTGCGGTAGTAACCCTACAAAAACAACACATCATCATGAATACAGTCAGCCCAGCCTCAGCCGCACGTCTTCACCCTCTCCCAGACTGACCATAATGTAAGAAGCGTTGATGTAGTCTGTGTCTTTCAGCCCCGGTAAAGCTGCAAGTCCGACCCTGGCTCTCTCCGCTGTGCACAAACACAAAAACACACACTCGCATTAGCCTCTCTTCATCCTGTCAGAGGCATTGGCATCGCAAACACACACTTCACAATTGTCTGAAGTATTAACGGAGTGTGTAACGGCTGTAGATCCGAGTGGAGGCTCATGCGTTAGTGCTCCTCTAATAGCGGACAGATTACAGAAACAATAGCCCAATCCCAGACAACGACTCAATCAAGAATTTTGCTGAAGTGTGTCGAGCCGTCATGATTAGCTGATACTTTTGCAAAAAATTCCTTTCCTACTGAAAAGATAACAGTTTTGATAATAGCTCGACGGTTCACACAGACTATGGGTGAAAAACATGGACATTAAACTGGGTTGAGGGGGTGTTCACAGTAAAGGGGCAATTCATGTATATGGACTTTAAAAGGCTATAGCTCAAAAACTAAAATTGCTAGCATACATTAGAAAAATAAATAATTAAAACGCAGACAAATTGAAGCGATAGTGTGGATAAAATCAAAAGAAAAGTTGACAATTTTGGTGAAATTTAAAAACCCAGATCAGGCTCTGATTGGATGATTCTGTGACTCAGTGATGGTCTGGTTTCACATTTAATTGGTTTAATGTGAAATTCATCACTTTTTTTCTTCTTTGTGTAAAAAAGAATCTCTGAATAAAATGTGGATCTGAAAATATGTAAAAAAAATTCAGCTCATTCACAAAAACAAGTCCGAGACTCAGAGAAGCAGTTACTATAGAACATGTGACTAATACAACAGTTACTATAGAACATGTGACTAATGTAAACAACAGTTACTATAGAACATGTGACTAATGTAAACAACAGTTACTATAGAACATGTGACTAATGTAAACAACAGTTACTATAGAACATGTGACTAATGTAAACAACAGTTACTATAGAACATGTGACTAATGTAAACAACAGTTACTATAGAACATGTGACTAATGTAAACAACAGTTACTATAGAACATGTGACTAATGTATACAACAGTTACTATAGAACATGTGACTAATACAACAGTTACTATAGAACATGTGACTAATGTATACAACAGTTACTATAGAACATGTGACTAATGTATACAACAGTTACTATAGAACATGTGACTAATGTATACAACAGTTACTATAGAACATGTGACTAATGTATACAACAGTCACTATAGAACATGTGACTAATGTATACAACAGTTACTATAGAACATGTGACTAATGTATACAACAGTTACTATAGAACATGTGACTAATGTAAACAACAGTTACTATAGAACATGTGACTAATGTAAACAACAGTTACTATAGAACATGTGACTAATGTAAACAACAGTTACTATAGAACATGTGACTAATGTAAACAACAGTTACTATAGAACATGTGACTAATGTAAACAACAGTTACTATAGAACATGTGACTAATGTAAACAACAGTTACTATAGAACATGTGACTAATGTATACAACAGTTACTATAGAACATGTGACTAATACAACAGTTACTATAGAACATGTGACTAATACAACAGTTACTATAGAACATGTGACTAATGTATACAACAGTCACTATAGAACATGTGACTAATGTATACAACAGTTACTATAGAACATGTGACTAATGTATACAACAGTTACTATAGAACATGTGACTAATGTAAACAACAGTTACTATAGAACATGTGACTAATGTAAACAACAGTTACTATACATAGTTCCCACAGACCAATGAATGTCACATGACCTCCTCGGAGACGCCATCTTTGATGGCACGCTGCTGTGTTTGTGCATTCCATTAAACAGAAGAATGAGAATAAATGTAGATATTCAAACGCAAATTGGAAAAAAAGGGCAACTTTTGAGCAAATAATTGTATATTAATACAATGGCACCACAGTTTAACGTGCTACGGACATGTTTTACATATTTGATCAAATTATGCAGCAAAAATTAACAAGCAATGCAAACATTTCTCAAAAACTTTAGATTTAATACCAGTTGGAGCTCCATTTAATTATTTTAATTATATTAACAATTAATTTAATTAATGCTAATGCCACACGGACACTCTGGATTGCTGTTATTGTTTATTTCCGCGTTTTTGACCGTATGTTTTGGTGAATGGTGGGCAACTGATTTTTCCAGGCGTAAAGAGCAGTTTATTTTATGACACAGATCTTTTTACAGAAGCAATGCTGTTTGTGAACATTGTTTTAGCCCACCATAGAACTATTATTATCTATTTAATACATTTACGTTGCCCTCGAGAGCCTCGGACGCGACACCGATCCTCCTCATAATAAAGTAATCTAACGCTAAATAATGAAACTCTCAAGTTACCAGCTATCAGCATACACAAGTTAGTACTGAGTAAATTACGTCTGTCAACACATTATGAGATACGATACGCACCTGACACAAAGTGCTCCGAGCATATTCTTGCGTGTTTTGAGGGAGTTTCTTGCCTGTTTATCTTCGCAAGCCATAACCTCCGTGGTTGTTCTGACAAAAGCTTAGTCTTCTCACATTCATGAAGTCTAATGATGGGTATACTGTAAAATCCAAGTTTAACAGAACCTCCGGCACGATTTGAACATCCATTGACCCAGCAGGAGATGACCATTTTCAACTTTATCACGACATTAACACGTTTCAGCTTCTTTTTCTATTGTTTTGCCCACAGAATGCCAACACAAATGGCACCGGGTCGGCAAATCCCCGTATGTAGTGACGTCATGTGGGAACTATGTATAGAACATGTGACTAATGTAAACAACAGTTACTATAGAACATGTGACTAATGTAAACAACAGTTACTATAGAACATGTGACTAATGTAAACAACAGTTACTATAGAACATGTGACTAATACAACAGTTACTATAGAACATGTGACTAATACAACAGTTACTATAGAACATGTGACTAATGTAAACAACAGTTACTATAGAACATGTGACTAATGTAAACAAGTTACTATAGAACATGTGACTAATGTATACAACAGTTACTATAGAACATGTGACTAATGTAAACAACAGTTACTATAGAACATGTGACTAATGTATACAACAGTTACTATAGAACATGTGACTAATGTAAACAACAGTTACTATAGAACATGTGACTAATGTATACAACAGTTACTATAGAACATGTGACTAATGTAAACAACAGTTACTATAGAACATGTGACTAATGTATACAACAGTTACTATAGAACATGTGACTAATACAACAGTTACTATAGAACATGTGACTAATGTAAACAACAGTTACTATAGAACATGTGACTAATGTATACAACAGTTACTATAGAACATGTGACTAATACAACAGTTACTATAGAACATGTGACTAATGTATACAACAGTTACTATAGAACATGTGACTAATGTATACAACAGTTACTATAGAACATGTGACTAATGTAAACAACAGTTACTATAGAACATGTGACTAATGTATACAACAGTTACTATAGAACATGTGACTAATGTAAACAACAGTTACTATAGAACATGTGACTAATGTATACAACAGTTACTATAGAACATGTGACTAATGTATACAACAGTTACTATAGAACATGTGACTAATGTATACAACAGTTACTATAGAACATGTGACTAATGTAAACAACAGTTACTATAGAACATGTGACTAATACAACAGTTACTATAGAACATGTGACTAATGTAAACAACAGTTACTATAGAACATGTGACTAATACAACAGTTACTATAGAACATGTGACTAATGTAAACAACAGTTACTATAGAACATGTGACTAATACAACAGTTACTATAGAACATGTGACTAATGTAAACAACAGTTACTATAGAACATGTGACTAATGTAAACAACAGTTACTATAGAACATGTGACTAATGTATACAACAGTTACTATAGAACATGTGACTAATGTAAACAACAGTTACTATAGAACATGTGACTAATGTATACAACAGTTACTATAGAACATGTGACTAATGTAAACAACAGTTACTATAGAACATGTGACTAATGTATACAACAGTTACTATAAAACATGTGACTAATGTATACAACAGTTACTATAGAACATGTGACTAATGTAAACAACAGTTACTATAGAACATGTGACTAATGTATACAACAGTTACTATAGAACATGTGACTAATGTAAACAACAGTTACAATAGAACATGTGACTAATGTATACAACAGTTACTATAGAACATGTGACTAATGTAAACAACAGTTACTATAGAACATGTGACTAATGTAAACAACTGTTACTATAGAACATGTGACTAATGTATACAACAGTTACTATAGAACATGTGACTAATGTAAACAACAGTTACTATAGAACATGTGACTAATGTAAACAACAGTTACTATAGAACATGTGACTAATGTATACAACAGTTACTATAGAACATGTGACTAATACAACAGTTACTATAAAACATGTGACTAATGTAAACAACAGTTACTATAGAACATGTGACTAATGTATACAACAGTCACTATAGAACATGTGACTAATGTAAACAACAGTTACTATAGAACATGTGACTAATGTAAACAACAGTTACTATAGAACATGTGACTAATACAACAGTTACTATAGAACATGTGACTAATGTAAACAACAGTTACTATAGAACATGTGACAAATGTATACAACAGTCACTATAGAACATGTGACTAATGTAAACAACAGTTACTATAGAACATGTGACTAATGTAAACAACAGTTACTATAGAACATGTGACTAATGTAAACAACAGTTACTATAGAACATGTGACTAATGTATACAACAGTTACTATAGAACATGTGACTAATGTATACAACAGTTACTATAGAACATGTGACTAATGTAAACAACAGTTACTATAGAACATGTGACTAATGTATACAACAGTTACTATAGAACATGTGACTAATGTAAACAACAGTTACTATAGAACATGTGACTAATGTATACAACAGTTACTATAGAACATGTGA